ACGATAATTCAATATTGTTGTGAGGACGTAAACTTTTGTTTAGTGTAGACCAGTTTTACGAGAAATTGCAACCAAAATAATAAAAATTATATATATATATATATATATATATATATATATATATATATATATATATATATATATATATATATATATATATATATATATATATATATATATATATATATATATATATATATATATATAGTTTTTATTATTTTGTTGCAATTTCTCATCAAACTAGTCTACACTTAACAAAAGTTTACGTCCTCACAATAATAATAGAAATAATAATAATAATAATAGTGATAATAATAATAAATTTGTTATATATTAGTAAAAAAGAATTATTTTATAATATAGTTTACTTGTTATATATATATATTATATATATATATATATATATATATAGATATATATATATATATATATATATATATATATATATATATATATATATATATATTTGTTAAAGCAGTCAAGGGGTTTAACAAAGTTATTGGTTTCATATCAATGCCCTACCACATTCCCTATTAGCACAAGGACCTGCAAGTAATATTAGACGCTCTAAATTAAGGCTGTTGAGACAATTCACAAGAAACCATGTAAGATTTAATTTCTTTACAAATGCGGTTGTGCTCTGTATATAACTATAATATTTTTGAGATAAACATGAATTTTTGCAATCTTGGTATGTTTCGTAGTTTACATACTATATTTTCAAAAGATAAAATTAAAATTTAAAACTCTGGAATGTTAAATCAAAACTTGAAGACATTACAGAGAAATATTAACAGATAAATAGAATTGTTACAAACCAATAAAAATTACAATACCATAAATAGCATAAAAGTAATTAGCAAATAAAGCAAACTAGATTGACAAATTTATATTTTAATGAAAAGTGTGTTTATTTAAAGATTGGTATTACCATTTAATATGTAGTACTTCTTTAATTTTCAATTTGTTTTTGTTAGGAGCAGTATCTAAAATTTTGAAACAGTTATAGCTACTTAGATTTTTACAATTAACTGATAAAATTAAATGCTTGTAAACATAAGATTGTTTGTCACTTGTAAGGTGCTTGTGAATCCTTGTTTGTTAAGTGTCTGGAAGTTGTGGATGGTATTATTGCTATTTTAAATCAAAATTTACTATGGAAAAAGAACACGATAATCAAATTGCATTTTTATATGTTCTTACCAATAAGTCTGTTTCGTTTTCCACACCACTTTATCACAAAAAAATATATACAGGTCTTTTACAAAAATTTTCTAGTTTTGTTCCCTATTTTTATAAAATTAGTCTTATACATTGTTTGATTGATGGAACTTATAAAATCAACAACACATAGCTTGGATTTGATAAGGACATAAAAATCTATCTATTGTTTTTATTAAATGAAATTAAATTATTTGTTGATAAAAAGTTAAATCTGTAATAAATAGTATTATAATCCAATATAAGATATTAAAAATTTTCATTTATAAGATTTTACTCAAATTTTACTAAATCTAAAATCAATAAAATCATTCAAAAATATTGAAAAGATGTCATAATTTAATTTTCACTACCAACAAATTACAAAACAGTTTATGTATAAAAGATCCACTTCCTAAGCTGCTCAAATCCAATGTTGTTTACAAATTTTCTTGTGCTGGATGTAATGCCAGTTATATTGGAGAAATCTCCAGACACTTAACAACAAGTCATGATTAAATTTTTTTTTCTGTTGCGTTTTTCTTAAAAATATTCAATTGCTATTACATTGCTATTATATATATATATATATATATATATATATATATATATATATATATATATATATATATATATATATATATATATATATATATATATATATATATATATATATATATATATATATAATACGTGGCGATCTAATCCAACAGTATAAAATTCAACATGGGTTAGATAGAGTAAATTGGCTTTCAAACTACAATTATACTGCGTCACAAGAAGACCCCCATCTGAGGCAACATAAATTCAAATTAAAAAAACTATTCTGCAAGAATACTATCAGATCAAATTTTTTCTCTAATTGTATAGTCAACATATGGAATAATCTACCGAGTGGCATAATAGAAGCAGAATCAATAAATCAGTTCAAAAACAAACTAGATAAATCAAATATTTGCAAAAACATTTTATTACAAAATTGTTTTTAAGATAATTTGGTTTAGAGATTTAGGAATTGTGCAAAGCTGATACAGTGCAATATCAACTTTTATTGCGCTCCACAACTGTTAACACCAGTTGTTACAGCTACCTCTTATTATTATTATTATTATTATTATTATTATTATTATTATTATTATTATTATTATTATTATTATTATTATATATATATTTTTTATTTTTATTTTAATTCATCTCCTCAAGGCAGAGAAGGCCACTACAGACAAGGAGGCTACTTATTTTGTGGCTGTAACCCTCTCTCAACTCTATAACTCCGAAACACAAACCTTGACGAACAAGGCTGCTGCGCAGAGAAACGAGTTGAGATATATATATATATATATATATATGTATCTCATTTTTTTTACTTATGTATCTCATTTTTCAGATCTATAATTGTTTAAAAGTATATATACTTAATGGCTGTTGCAACCATTCAAAGTTATGTTGAATGGTCATAGTCGCTTTCGAACACGCTTTGAAGTCAGCAAACATACCAATCTTCCTACTCAACAGGTAAAATAATAAATTTTAATAATTTTATATTCATACTTTTTCAATAGTCTATTGAACTTAGCTTAAGTAAGTAATAGGTATACACTCTATAATATTATTAGGTGTATATCTAATTGTGTAGATCACAATTTTGTAACATTTGGTAGCAATCAGTTGCAATTATTATCTTACCAAATATAATATGCAAATATGTAGCAATTTTTGACTTGCTTATTTTGTTATATTTTGTGACTTATTAGCTTTTTGTTTAAGAAATGTATTGTAATTTATTTTTTAACTATTATCAATGTTAACTAAAAATTAATTATTGTTACAACTGTCATTAAAACATAATAATGCTGTTATAAAAGATATTAAACTAAGTAATTAACTATTAATTAATTAACAATTAATTTCATAAATTATAGTGTAGAAAACTTAAACAATTAAAAAGAAATTAAATTAAAAAGTCATGGGCTTGATTTAGACATAGCCAATATCTTTATTGCCATACCAACACTATTTAACATGTGAGGCTTTATAAAACTATATACTCTAAGTCAGTAACTCTGTTTGTTTTAAAATAAATAGAATATATAATTCATCTGAAAATCTAGGAGAGGGAGGTTAAAATTACTTAGTAATTTAAAATAACTTTAAAGTAATTTGTTGTTGAAAGTTTAAAATTCTCTTAGGTCTCCTTAATTGTTTTGTCATTACAAATTTGTTCTCAAGGTATTGTACCAAAGACAGGAATATATTGATGCTGTTAAGCCTAATCTACATAACTGCAAATTAATATCCATTGTTTTAGTGAAAGCAACATTTTCGAGACAACTTTTAAAAATGCTTCAAGTTCACTTAAAATTTCCTTACAAACTCAACTATTGGGAAGATCATCTCTTTTTTCACATCTGGAATCAATTCCACGTGAAATTTTTTTTTTCATAAAATGCAATCCCTAAATTTCAGAATTTGCTGATTTTTACACCACTCAAAAATTTTAATATAATATTAACATTCTCAAAATTTCATCATATGATATCAACTAGTTCCAAGGTTATACAATTTTAACTTTGCCTTAAAGCAACTTAAAAGTTGCCAATAAAAAAAAAATAGTTCTTGCTTCTGTGCTATGTACAATGGAAAGTTGGAAATATGATCATTATTATATTTTGGGGCAAGGATTCCAATAAAATAACTTAAAACATTTAAAAATGAACATAACACCTGATGTTCAAACCTTTATTTTAATATTGTGAGTTTAGTTACAAAAATACTGATGTAGCTCAATTTTGTCTTCATATTATTGTTTTTTAGATGTTTTCCTAAATAGTTTAGAATTATTACAAAGAATCAAAGAGTTATCTTTTCTAAAACAGATAAAAAAACAAGGCCAAATCTATATAAATTTAGTATTTATAAAACAGGAGTAATAAAAAAAATATTTTAAACTTGATAGTAATGTAGCTGAAACAGTTTTGGCGGTATCAAATTGTTCTTTTAGTTGTTGCTGACTCGCTGTTTTTATTTCCTTGGTAGTTTTATAAAATTTAATCCTAAGTTTTGAAAATTTCCTATAGTTTAATTTATAATTGTGTAGGCAAGTTAAATTATGAAAATGCAGATGTATAGCTCAACTTTTTTATAATAAGTTGTCTTGAATAATTTACTTGTCACATCAGGGCCAACAAATTAATAAATGTGCAAATGTTTGTTGAAAAAAAGACAAACAAACATCGCATTTCTTTACTAATGCTTAAGCAAATGTTGGCTTTCGTTTGAAGTTTGTAAAAATGAACTCATTACTTATGCAATTTTTATCCAAATAATTATGCTATTGATATTTTTTATTTGTTATAAAAAACACATATTTATTATAAAAAATAATTAGTTACTAAAATTTAAAATGCATTTTAAATACTTTAAAAAAAACCGTGCTAAAACATGATTACTTTTTTTGTAAACTTTAGCGTTACTTTTAAGTAAAATAACTATTAATAATATTAAAGTAATATTTATGCTATTGAAGAAAGTAATAATGTTTCAGCATGGTTTTTGCACGCGTTAACAAAAACGCTCAATTTTACTTAAAATTAACTCATTTGCAATTACTTAAAAATATAACATGCTTAAACAGTATAGGTTGGGTGAATAAAAAAAAGCAGTTGCTTTCACTCAGCGTTTTTGGAGTAGTTGTTCAGCTTTAAGTGAATAAAAATTTGAGTTAAATCAATTGCTTTTTTTATTTTTTTTATTTACCTGGCCTATTTAATTCAAGGAACTAAATTGGGAAAAATTCACTATTTAGTATCAATGGGTAAAAGTTGATCTTTAAATATTAGTTATTTGCTCAATTATATTGCGCGCACTTCCCAAAAGCGTAAAAAATTGTTTTGAAAAATAAAAATTGATTAAATTGTCATATTTATTGGCGAACATCTAATTTAAGATATATACATTTATATATCTTAAATTACATGTTCGCCAATAAATAAAGATACGAACATCTGCGTTCTTTTAAAAAAAGCAATTTGTCGTGCCCTGCACAAAGAATTGGGTTGTGGTCTTTCCTAAAACAGAAATAAAAAACATTCAGGTTTCAACTTTCAAAAACAACTGAAAATAAAAACTTATGAAAAAATTTTCCATTCTGCTGGAAAAACTAATAAAATAGGCTGTTTTTAAAAAACATGCTGGAAAAACAGGAAAATGTATGCTTTGAGTAACATTGATGCTAAAAAAACTAGAAGTTTATTTTTTCTATATAATTTGCTGCTTAGTAGCTTAATTTGAGTTTAATTATAGCAAGCCTTTTTACGAGATTTCGCTGTGTAACAAAAACGCTAAATGCATTTCAAAGTAACTCAACTTTTGTTAGAAGTTAAATTGTGTCACTAGCATCTTTTCAAGTACCACTTGTAATTAAAGTTATTTTCTTAATGCGTTAAAAATCATTTAGACAGTTTTCTTCTCACTATAACAAAACAAACAAAATTCAAATAAAATCTAAATTCCTATTTGAAAAGTCATTTTTTTCATTTTTTTTAAATAGGAACTAAATTTTATTTTGAAAAAAATTTTTTTTTAAAGCATTATATAGTTTTCCTTTATTTTCTTATAATTTTACAGTTTTTTGGTTATTTTATTTTATTAAATGTTGTTGGACCTGGACTATCTGCTAAGCTTGAACCTCTTTCCCATCGTCGTAAAGTTGCATCTCTTTCTCTTTTCTACAGATACTATCATGGTCACTGCTCAAAGGAGTTATCATCTCTAGTTCCATCAACTAAAATTCATTCTCGTTTTACTCGTCATTCAGCTAAGTCTCATTCGTTTTCTGTATCTGTCCCTGCATGCTCTAAAAACTTTTATTCATCTAGTTTTTTTCCCCGCACTTCAATCCTTTGAAACTCTCTCCCATCTTCATGTTTTCCTGACTGGGAGTGAATGCAAATAAAAAAAAAAACTGTTAATAAATTTTTTCTTATCTATTTTATGAACTCTTTTTAATAATGTTTTTAAACAATAAAAAGTTTTATCAGTTACCGATAACATATTCGTGATCATAATTTATGTTCATAAATTAAATGAATGTCATTAAAACTTTACATTATATCGAATTGAATTGATAATAAACAAAATATCTTAATAATATAAATATTATGACAAAAAATAATTTATATATTTAAAAGGAATATATATATTTAATTCCTTAAGATTGTCTGCTTGCACATCATCTTCGCTGTCTACGTTATCAGTATTGCTGCATGTTTGTATATCTTGAATATTTGCTATTTTAACTTTATTAGAATCGCCACCATCAGATTTTCTTTGTTTTTTTATATATTTCAACAACAATAGGTCAATAATATTATTGTATTCATCTTTCAACCAAAGACTTTTGTTGCCGAGAATTATGACACAATCAGCAAGTCCGATTATCTATTATCTTTTTTTTAAAAAGCAATTCTAGCCAAGAAAGAAATTTAATGTCCATTAAATAATAGACAGCTTTACTAAGTGTAATAATTATTGTACTTTAAAATATAATTAAATATTGTCTTTAATTTTTTCTTTTCTTGAATGGGGAAATAATTTTTTTTTCTCCTGATATTTATTAACTAAGTAACATTTTAGTTGTGAGCAATGTAACAGCTCTCATTACCAAAAAAACATCCTTATATCATCGTAGTTATAGAGAAAACATTTATATAAACAGGAAAAACTTGATTATGCTAAATATTGGCTTTTTTTCTAAAGTATTTGTTTTAAATATAATATCATTGATAATAGTTAATTTTAGTTGAAATACTCAAGTAACAAAATCTGGACTATCATTTGCAACCTAACTTGCAGTGCCAGGGTTCAGTATACCGCAACAGTGCAGTGCAGCCTAAACCAACATTTGGAGGAGGGGGGGCACATACCTCCTTACCTGCTTTTTATGCCCCCCCCATACCCACTTTGAAAACCGCGTCCTCCACTTGACCTAAATATATGTTTTTAGTTATCTCATGCCATTTTGGCTTGAAATTATTAAAAAAAAATGAATTATTAAATAAAATAATTATTATTCTAAAAAATTTTTAGATAAAACAATTTTTTTCTTTCTCTCTTATAGTGGTTATAAATTTCAATTATTTATATAATATAGTTATAGTTCATACTACTTCACCTTTTAATCAGTGCTTAAACAAAGTAAAAAGTATCAACAATTTTTTTTAAAGAACTTGACTAGTAAGTATTCATCATAAACTAATTCTAATTGACATTCTTTCTACGATCAATCTAAAAAATTAATGATAATGGAAACTTTGTCTTTGCAAAAAAGAAACTTCGACACTAAAAAATCATTTACTTCTAAAAATGGCAAATATTCAAAATAAAATTAGAACAACTAAATTTTCAAACATATCATTACCAACAGGTCCAGCCAGGGGCAATTTTAGGAATAAAACGAGGAGAATGAATCCTTCAAAAGTGCCTAATTTCTTAAAAAATATATATTTAACTGTTAG